TAGCACTCTACCACTTGAGCCACAGCACCACTTCCAGCTTTTTTCTTTTTGCTTATGTGGTGCTGAGGAATCGAACCCAGGGCCTCAGGCATGCAATACAAGCGCTCTACCACTGAGCCACCTTCCCAGCCCCTCAAAAGTTCTTAAGACAGAATGATAACTGAGTCTGAAGCCAAACTCAGCCCAAAATTTTGATCCTGCCTCCTCAAATTTTCATATGATGAGTTAGGTACAAAATTAGGCACAAAAAGATTCTGTAGTTCTTGAAAAACAAAACTGGGCACTTGTGGCTTATACATGTACTTCTACCTATTTGGGAGGCTGAGATCTAAGAGGTTCATGGTTTGATGCCAGCACAGGTAGAAAAGTTGACTAGAATTTATCTCTAAAATATAAGTAAAATTTATCTCTAAAATAACCAGCAAAAACCACAGCTAGAGACTTGGCTAAAGTGGTAGAGTGCCAGCCAAGCAAGCAAACTGAGCTGATGTAATAAAATCCTGAGTTCAACTTCCAGTAGTGTCAAAAAAGATGGGTGTGGTGGTACATGCCTGTAAGCCCAACACTTGGGAAACTGAGTAGGAGAATCAAAAGTTCAAAGCCAGCCTGTATACATAACATGATCTTGTCTCAAAATGAAAAAGGAAAAAAGGAAAAAAGTAGAGCCGGAACTTGAATTTATATGACTTAATTCCATTTTTAGTGAAACCTGTGTATTTCTGAGTACCTTAGAAGACACCTTCAGTCTCCATTCATCTAGAGGTAGAACTATAAATATTGAAATTGAAAAGAAGTATCTGTATTTAGGATTTCCTTGCCTTGAAATTTCAGATTTGAGGCTGCTACAATAACTTCCAGGGAAGACTGCCAGTACATCTGCTGTTGTAACCCAAGATCTTGATACACATCCATAGATCGGAATATTAGTGGGACAGCAATCCTCAGACGCCTCACTTAGGACAGGTAAGTGAGAGACAGTAGAAAATGAGAAAAGTAGATTTTGAACTAAGAAAGTTCTTCTTTCTTGGTTAGATGAAAAATAGTTCACTGCCTTTAAAAATGTAACTTAACTGTGTCAGAATGTTAACAATGGTTGGGATGCTTGTCTCTATTAACATGTGGCATGTGCTGGGGTAGCTGGAATGATGAGAGTGACTCAGTGGCTGAAAATGGAATCATTTGAAGGCTTGCTCACTCCTGTGTCTGTGGCTAATACCGGCTGTTGGCTGAGACATCAGCTTGGGCTGTTGGCCAGAATACATACACTACACCTCTTCTCGTGGTTGCTTGGTTTTCTCACAGCATGATGGCTGGATTCCAAGAGAGAACATCTGAGGAGAAGAAGGCAAAGGTGCACAACTTATCTGACTTAGTTTTAGAAGTCACATAATGTTATTTTATTCTGTTGGTTGAAGTAATTATAAAAGTCCATCCAAATTGGGAGGAGGAAGTGGCAGAGCTGGAGACCCTAAATTCAAGATCCATTTGAAGGGAAGGTTATCAATGTCACATTGTAAGATGAGCACAGAGATGGAATCTACTGTTGTAGCCATCTTTGAAAAATATAATCTGGCATGGTCTGTATTGCTTGTGTGTGTGTGTGTGTGTGTGTGTGTGTGTGTGTGTGTGTGTGTGCACGTGTGCAGATGTGCACACTACTCAAAAAGAAGGGAGCTAGCCAGTAGGTGCAGGCTCCATTCTTCCCAAGCAAAAGTGTTTATTGTTGTTGCCATAGCCCATGGTCATCAGACTCCAGCTTCTTCAGCTTTCAATTTGAATTCCCATGAATGACTCTCCAGAGAGTTTCTAGGTCTTCAGCCTTAGACTGGGGCTGCATCATTGATTAGTTTCCTTTATTTAGAGGCTCCCAGATTTGTGGACTGAGCTACTAATGATTCTCCAGTGTGCAGGTAGCCATTGTTGGATTATCCAGCCTGTAATAGTGTAAACTAATCTAATAATTTTTTTTTAACTCAAGTCCCAGGACTGTACACCATCCCTGAGCTTCTTTTGCTCAAGGCTAGCACTCTACCACTTGAGCCACAGTGCCACTTCGGGCTTTTTCTGTTTATGTGGTTCCTGAGGAACCCTGGGCTTCATGCATGCTAGGCAAGCACTCTACCACTAAGCCATATTCCCAGCCCATAAATATTTTTTATAACTATAGATAAAATTAAATATATCTGATTGTTTTTGTCCCTGTGGAGAATCCAGACTAATACTGGAATCTTACTTTCAAAATCATATTCTTATTGGATTCATGCCATGATTTCCTATACTCTTCTTTTTCACATATTACACATGCTATTTATAGTCTTCATCTTAAAAGTAATACAAAGCTGGGTGCTGGTAACTCTACCTGTAATCCTAGCTATATAGGCTGAGATCTGAGGACTAGGCTCAAAGCCAGCCCAGGCAGACAAATCTAAAACACACTTATCTACAGTTAACTAGCAAAAATCTGGAAGTAGAGCTCAAGGAGTTGAGAACCAATGTTGAGTAGAAAAAGCCAAGGGGAGAGGGCTGGAGGCTTCTGGTTCAAGACCCGGTATTGACACCAATCAAACAATTTAAACAAATAATTTAAAGTCTACTTGGATTTTCTTCCCTTTGTTTTAATAATTTGGGAAATTACTTTCCAATTTAAAGTTGAAAAGCTGGTGTCAAGCTGGGTGCCGGTGGTTCACATCTATAATCCTAGCTACTTAGGAGGCAGTGATGAGGATCCAGGTTCAAAGCCAGCCTGGGCAGGAAAGTCCATGAGACCCTTATTTCCAATTAACCACCAGAAAAATGGCAGTGGTGCTGTGGCTCAAGTGGTCGAGTGCTAGCCTTCAGCCAAAGAGCCCAGGGACAGTGCCCAGGCCCAGAGTTCAGACCCCATAACCAACCAACAAAAAAACAAAACCAGGAGGGGAAAAACAAAGGAGGAGGCAACAATGCTGGATAAGAAATCTACCCATTACCTTGCTCATGTAACTGTAAGCCCTCTGTACAGTATTTTCACAATAAAAAACAATTAAAAAAAAAACAAAACAAAACCAAAAACCTGATGACATTTTTTTTTTTTTTTGGTCCGGTCATGGGGCCTGAACTCTGGGCCTGGGCGCTGTCCCTTAGCTCTTCAGCTCAAGGCTAGCGCTCTACCCCTTGAGCCACAGGGACACTTCCGGCTTTTTCTTTTTGCTTATGTGGTGCTGGGGAATCGAACCCAGGGCCTCAGGCATGCAAGGCAAGCGCTCTACCACTGAGCCACCTTCCCAGCCCCCCTGATGACATTTTAATAACGATGTACCTCAAGTTTGGTCTGTGTTTGCTTTCTTTAAAAAATTTTTTTTGTTATTATAAAGGTAACAGAGGGGTTATAGTTATATATATATATATATATATATATAATTATATATATGAGTACATTTCTTTTTGGACAATATCAACTCTTTCCTTTCTCCCAGTTTTTCCCTCTTGTCCTCACCCACAATTTGTGTAAGTTCATTTTCAACATAGTATCTAGTGAGTACCACTGCTGCATTTGTTTACTCTTTGTCCCTCCATTTCTGTATCTTACCCAAAGACAGATAAATGAACAAACAAGGGAAAAAAAGGGGAAAAAAACCTCTTGTTTCCATTTCTATCTTTGCTTTGTTTAAAGAAAACTGTAATCTTTTTTTTTAGAATTTAACAATCTTAACTGCTAACATGTCTGTAAATTGACATTTTCTTTTATAAGAAAATGTATATAAACTATTTGATAATTGCATTGATCACAATTACCAATTATAGAAATTGCCAGTGATAGAGTTCAGTATAGCTAATACTCAATTTTAAAACTTTTTTTTTTTTTGGGTCTGGTTGTGGGGCCTGAACGCTGGGCCTGGATGCTGTCCCTCAGCTCTTCAGCTCAAGGCTAGTGCTCTACCACTTGAGCCACAGCACCACTTCTGGCTTTTTTCTTTTTGCTTGTGTGGTGCTGAGGAATCGAACCCAGGGCCTCAGGCATGCAAGGCAAGCGCTCTACCACTGAGCCACATTCCCAGCCCTCAATTTTAAAACTTTAAAGACCATCTCATTTCTTAGACTCAGAAAATTTTCTGGCTGTCTAGATGTTTTTCCATTTCTAAGTGATTTCAGTCAGTGAGTCTAATTCAACTGACTTGGCTCAGCACTATTTCTCCAGTATTCAAAAGGAGATATTCTTTTTTTTAAAAAAATATTTTTATTATTATCTTTAAGTAGTTGTACAAAGAAGTTCTCAGTATATAAATACAAGGTATCTGACAACATTATCACCCATCGCTCCTAACCCATCCCTTCTCTCACTTTTCTTTTTTTTTAAATTGAGACTAGATGATTACATAAATTTCACATATTTCATGGTATTGTGGAATAGTGATACTTAAAGTCACAAACACATTGTAACCTTCACAAGGCAAATTGTCATTATCATGATCTATAAAGTTTGTGAATTCTATGAGCTTTGACAATACAATGATTTCTTCCACGTTAGATGTTTACATTTCTTTCCTTTTGCTTAGTATAAGCTGTTCCTCTTTCCCTCTCATTCTTCCCTTCCCATTGCTGTCTTTGGGTTGCTTAGTTCTTTTTCATCTATGTCCAGTGCAGCTGATGGGACCCTTTGTTGTATGTTGTTCCGTTTCCCACTTATTCTGCGTCCTCCTCCTAGCTTCCCTCTGTTGCATGCATATATGGTCAAAAACATGAAGTCATTTAGCAATGATACAACAAAATGAGTGGCTGTCCTTTGTTTCTCCAGTCCTGTTTACTTTGTACTATCTCCTTGCATTTTGGCTTTGGCAGCCACATATCAGGGAGACCCTGTGCCATTTGTCTCTTTGTTCTTGGCTTACCTCACTCAAAATGATTTGCTCTAGTTCCTCCATTTCCCTGCAAATGCCATTATTTTGTCCTTTCTAATGGCTGCATAATATTCCATTGTATACAGATACCACAATTTTTGGATCCACTCATCAGTAGTGGGGCATCTGGGTTGTTTCCATATCTTGGCTATTGTGAACAGTGTTGGCAATAAACATGGAGGTGCATGTGTCCTTGTATCCTGGTTTCTGTGTTCAGGGTAGATGCCTAGGAGTGGTATGGCTGGATCATAAGGGAATTCTATATTTAGCCTTCTGAAACACCTCCAGACTGCTTTCCAAAGTGGTTGTATTAGTATTCATTCATTCCTCTTTCTCCACATCCCCTCCAGCATTTGTCATTGGCTGAATTTAGGATGTGGGCCATTCTGACTGGAGTAGATGGTATCTCAGTGTTGTTTTCATTTGCATTTCCTCAAAGGGAGATATTCTATAATGGAAAAAGAAATTTTAGAAGTTTGCTTCCTCTCAACTGTAAATGATTAGAACTGACTGATTTTTCTCAAAAGGTATAGAAATTGAGAAAGCTGGGATTTGTTTTGCTTTGTTGTGTTGTTGGGGATAAATCTAGTTATACTCCCAGCCATAAGCTGTTGTTGTTTTACTTTTATTTTTGTTATTTTTTGCATTTATTTATTTATTTTTGTTGGTCGTGGGGCCTGAACTCTGGGCCTGGGCACTGTCCCTCAGCTCCTCAGCTCAAGGCTAGCGCTCTACCACTTTAAGCCACAGCGCCACTTCCGGCTTTATTCTGCTTATGTGGTACTAAGGAATCGAACCCAGGGCCTCATGCATGCGAGGCAAACACTCTACCACCGAGCCAATTTCGCAGCCAATTTTTTGCATCTTTTTTTTATTTTACATATTTTTAATATAGATTACATCAGCATAGTAGTAGTTCTTTATCTTTGTTCATAAGTGTCACACCTCAGGCTTTAGGAAACATGTAATGAAACAGCTTCCCACCTTGAACATTCAGTTGTAACAGGCCTGTGAGGCCGAACATCTGTAGCTTTTCATAGGAAACCACACTTCAATTTTTTGCGTTTAAAAACAAGGAAATGTATTCAT